TCCTGCCCCTCCAGCTGAGTAGTCCTGAGCCATGCAAAGAACCACCTGAGCAACATGAGGAAGTCAGGCCCACGTTTCTCTGAATACCCCTTCTGCCTGTCTTTGAACCTCCTCATTGCCTAAGCAGAAGGAGATAGCACAAGGGGCTAATAACTCCTGGGGGATGTAAAGAGTAGAGCACCTTGTTCTTTTCCTGACATAAGAGGGCTCTGTGTAGTCATGATCATTTGCACAGTTGGGGAAATACCCCTCACTGTAACAGAAACATCAGGAGAAGCTGAGGTTAGGGGACACTGCATAAACCCAGTGCAATGCCCTGTGTATCCTAGGTGCCCCAAAGCCAGTTTTGGTACCCCTGCAGGGTGTGCTAATACACTGAAAAGCAGTAATGCTAAACTCCAGCACAGTCTGCAGGGCCCACCACTGAGCTATGCTGCCTCTGTAGGGGAATGTCTAGGAGATATGCAAAGCACCACTACCCAATCTGCAGTCTGTCGGTGGGGGCAAGGGAGTTTCCTGAAAGGTTATGGCATTTGTCAAAGACATGGCACTTCTCCTGTAAAGTTTAACTTCAAAGAATCTAAGTACAAAAAGGACTTTTGACAAGGGTATGCACTGATAGGACGAGGGGGAGTGGCTTCACACTGACAGAGGGCAGGTTTAGACTGGAAACTGGGAAGAAGTTCTTGGCTGGGAAGGTGGTAAAGCACTGGCACAGGTTGCACAGTGAAGCTGTGGCTGCTCCATCCCTGGGAGTGTTCCAGGCCACGTTGGATGGGGCTTGGAGCAACCTGGGTTAGTGGGAGATGTCTCTGCCCATGGCAAGAAGGGGTTGGAACTTGATGATCTTTCAGGTCCCTTCCAACCCAAAACATTCTAAGGATTCTGTGATTTGTGACATTTGCAATAAAGCAATTCCTCCTGCCCTTTGGAATGTATCCAGGAACAAACTCTTGCATAGTCTTGGTATGGGACTGGTCTCAGGTAGAAATTTATCACCTACTGCTTCATGGGGAAGCAGAATTTCCCCATGAAAAGCATGGACCAAGCCAGCTGCAAGCTCCATCTCAAGCATAAATGTTTCTGCAGTTTGCAATATCAACAACAAGAGCACAGTGCTCTGTGTAGCTGAGTGTACACCAAATTCAGCCCCAGCACTCACTGCTGTGCTCCCTCCTTGCCCAGAATATCAGCACACATAAACATAAAGTCAGACAAGATTTATCAAATCCACCAGTTTTGTACTTACCGATCTGTGCCATGTAAAAGTCTTTGGAAATCACATGCTGCCTATCAGCTGTCTCTGTGACATCCACCTGGACCTTGATATCTGCCAGCAGTTCAGTCATGTCCACAGTGCACAGGTACTGTGTGTGACTGGTGTTCCTGGATGATTGCAGGAGACTGCAGACAGCTGCAGGTTTTTCTGGCTCTTCTACAGAAGCCCTAAAAACACCAAAACAAACCAGTCCACATCTACCATATGCTGCAGTTGGATTAAATTGTTGTTCAACCACAAGACATAGAAATCGATTTTTTAAAAAACCCAATGTTTGAATTAAAATTTATCTTTGAACCTTGATAGATGTGTTTTCCCTTCTATTTGCTCAGCTTGGCATCTTTGAGAGAAACGGGAAAGTGTTTGTGAAAAGGAAAGGTGGTCCTGAGGGCTGGACAGACCAAGACTGCATCCACTTCCTTGCTGGAGCAGAACAGCAGCCATGTGGGATTGGACAATCTGCATGAGCCCTGTCAACAAATGGGTGTGAAAGTTCACTGTTAGCAGCAAAGGGCACGGAGAGAAAGCAGTGCTGAGGAGGCTGGAGCCAGCACAGCAGTCTGTGCCAAGAGTGGGCAGCAGAGACAGGAACTGGAGTCCTTTGCCAGGGGAGAAGTCAGCTGGTAACTGGAGTGTGAATTACCAAGGACAAACCAGCATGACAGCAAGAACAAGATTTCTACCTAACAAAGAGGACAGAAGGTCACCACTGTTTTTTGACTGGACTTTGCTCATCCTACTACGACGTACCATGTTGCAGTGAGGTTGTATGGACTGGCACCCAGGTCATTTCTCAAGACACAGGACAGGGTCTGTACATAGTCCACAAAACAGGTGAGGTTTTCACCACACATAGCTGTAGGTTTGGAAAGAGAAAACACAATGTCAACTTCCATGATAAAGCAAGCAGAACTTTATGTCAACACATGCAGTCCTCAGGGTTTCTGGAGGGAACAGCCCCCGTGACAGTCCTCCTCCCACCCTCATTGCAAGTCTCCAGTCGTGGGCCATGAGATGTGTCCCAACTCTGCAGGGTGACAAGTCACTGACAGCAAGAGAAGTGTCAAACCAAAATCTACTAAAAGTGCTGTGGCAGTGAAAACCAGGAAATGCCCAAACCATGACTGAATTTTGCCTTGTCCCAGTCCCCTCACATACATCCCCAAGGCAGTCAGAGCTCTGCAGGAGTCCCAGCTCACATGGCCCACGGAAGAGGCATGAGAACCTGAGAAGAAGCAGCAGCATATTCAAAAGTTGCAATGGTACCCCTGCCTAAATCAAGCACTGTTCTTTGCTAGTCTTCATTGTACATCTACATGGCACTTTGCTCATTTTAAAAAAATGTGGTATTTTGGTAAGCTTTTTGTTGCCATTCTCTTTGCTGTTTTCTGCAGCTTGATATCTGCAGCATCAATACTTTTCATGTCCAGCTCCAGAGACCTGAACTGTATTTTTCATGGAATCTTGGCAAAAAAATACTGCAAATTTGTAGTTACTGTAATTTCTAGAAATCATTCTGATAGGCACAATTTATTCATTACAGACTTCTACAGAGAACTTGAGAGGCAATTGCAGAATTTACACTGGCCATTAAGAAAACTGACTAATTTGAAAGTGGTTACAAAACAGCATTTGTGCTCTTGTAACTGTTCTGCAGATCAGTTCTCACAACTCAGTCTCCAATATGTGCTATTGTCCTGTGCATAACACACAAGAGTTTTCTCCCTGGATTTCAAGGCAGGGAAGGTGGCAGCACAGTGAGAAAAGTCTGCATTACTGAGTCCTCTCCTGGCAGCACCCTGGGCTACAAGAACCACCACTGCCCCAGGAATGGCTGAGTGAGGAAAGGCCTGCAGGAGATGCAGTGTGCCATGCTGGGGCAAACCATCCCTCACTGCAGTGTCCATTGGTCTCTGACATGTACAGCATCACCCTTTTTAGATGGGAATAAAATTGTCACCCTCTAGGGAAACACTCAAGGTTGCTACATCCATGCTTAAATCAAGCATGGGTCCTCCCCTGCCCCCAGGGCTGCCCCACGTTATGCTATCAGGCACCCAAACCCTCTGATGCCAACCATGCTGTGAGCTCACAGCCCTTAGTCATTCTGCTGTGTGCCTGGTCAGACAAGCTGCACTCCCTGCTTCCTCCTGCCCCTTCACAGCAGCTTTGTGCTCAGGGTTGTTTGCATAAAATGAGAGCAGGCTGATGAGATAGGCTCAACAGCCACAGTGCCCAGTGGCACAGCAGAGGAGAATGCTGTGTGCAGAGAACCACCACCACCACGGAACGCAGCCAGCGTGGCACCCATGGACCAGACACATCTGTTCCATCCTCCAGATCAAATGACCATCCCCACAAACAAGCTGTGCCTGCACTTACAGCCCCAGTGCACAGCAGGCAGGTCCAGGAGAGGTGCAGCCTCCTGCCAGGCTGCGGTAGGCTCAAAGGAGAACAAAGTCCAAATTTCCCCCACTGCTGTCAGCCATCACAGCATTTACTCCCTAATCCTCATGCATCACACCCTGCTCCCCCTACAAGAGCTCTGGGCAGCACTGGGATTTGTGTACAGGACCCTCCTTCTCCTGAGGAGCTGAGATGGTGACAGAGGGACTCTGGGGATGTTTGAGACAAACTGGCCCCAAGGATGTACATATGCTTTTTTTTAAACTGCAAATGATTCAAATTATATGGTCGCCAATTTGTTTCATTTTGACTTTTTCTTTCATGCTGACTTCAAAATTGTCTGCTAAAATTTTCATTAAGTTTTCACTTTTCATTTTGAGGCCTCAAGAGACTCTTCTGAGGGTTCTGGTACAAGCACTATTTGGTCCAGAATCCTGAGCAACATACTTTTCTCCCTTAGCCTAACTTCACTCTCCTACAAAAATGGGCTTAGAAATCTCTTGCTTTCCTTCAGAAAGGGCAGCAAGTATTAATAAACTATTAAGCATTGGTAATTAGCATTTTTCTATGCTATTATGTTAATTAGTCAAACAGACTACTCTTCCCAGGTAGCTGGTAAGCTGCAAGCATATCTTTGGGCAAGAATCTGTTAACAAAATTAAGAGGACAGGTTTTTACTGGGAAAGGAATAATTAAGTGTCCTAAACCCAGTTAGATCTAGGATGAAATGTCTGTCCTTGGCAGCTTCAGAGACAAAAATGAAATGCTTCTAACAGTAAGATCTAGATTGATCCAAACTGAAATTAGGAGAGGGTAATTCCCTGGCTTGTGTCACACAAAATTCAGCCCAGACATCACAGTGGCCCATATGGCAGGAAGATATAACTCTGAGAGCATCTTTTCTGCTAGTTCAGGCTTGGAGCAGGCCCAATGCTCTGCCTAGAAGCAGCATGTAAGATGCCAAACTTGCAGGGTTCCCTGCAGACACGGTGGTCACTGCCTTTTTCTGTCCAGCTGACCTGTTCAGAAAGTCAGCTCTGAATCAGATGGAGTTTGCAGGGTGGGTAGGAGCCAGGAAAAAAGGGGCACAGTCCAGCAAAGTGGCTCAGACCAGGAGAGGTTCACACAGGTTGACCTGCCAACAACTGCTATAAACCCTGGGGATATCCTGGACTTGGCCAGGAGAACCACAGCACAGGGTTTTTTTGGTGGGGGAAATCCTACTCTAATGTCACTAGGAGATATTTTGATGCAAGGCAGGCACTAACTCTGCCCTTTCCCCACTCGTGCTGCTCCCTGGAGCAGTATTCAGCTTGGCTGAGCTCTGTCCAGCTGTGCACCTTCCTGTGCCTGTGCTCCACTTGTTATCCCATGGCAGCCTCTCCCCTAGTACCCTCTCTTGTGCTTGCTGTCCCATGGCAACCTTGTGCCATGCACTTCTTCTGAGAACCAGTGCCAGTGGTCACCAAGATAAATCCAGTGTATGTACAGCCCAGAAGAAATATCTGAGAACTTACTGTACTGGAGTAAAAGAAAGAAGGAAATACTCTGGAACCATCGTTTGTTCCTCATGTTGGTTCTGACTGGATGTCCTGGGGGGGCAAAAAGAAAAACAAAAACTCCATGACCAATTAAAAGCTCAGCTCAGACATCTACTCAGATGACAAAGGTCGAGGTGGAATTAATCTTGGTTTCATTTAAATGTCTAAAAGTAAAGTGCCTCATTTAGGCAAGTAATTTCAGCTCTCCTGTGTGTACCTACTCCAGGGGCTAAGCTGGAATGACCAACAGCCAACAGGCCATAAATGAGGTCAGTGGTCTCCACTCCTTGCCAGCATGTGCAGGGAGAAAGCAGCAAAGCCACTGCAGCCTCAGGCTATCCATGCAACAGGAAACCTCCTGGGTTAAGTGTTAACTCATTTTTCTTCATTTGTTCCCTGCAACTAGAAATGCCTTGCCACTAAGAGAAGTGACATTGCTGCTGCTTAGACATCTGTGGAGTGAATTAGTCAAATGGAATCTGAGCATCACTGTGGGTCTGTATGAGCAAGGATTGTGAGAACTCATTCATCTGGCGTACCCATGGTTAAATAAGCATGAAATATCTAGTTAAAGGACTCCAGGAAGGCAGACTAGAAAAAGCCCAATAGCAAAAACCAGCCTCCCATGTGGCACAGAAGAGAAGGATGTACAGTGCTGACTGCAGGGAAAGGCTGTCCTGATGCAGTTTGGGGAGGAGAACCTACAGGGAAGCCTTTAGAGGAGGGCCCAGCAGGGTGTTTAAAGCAGTGTGAGGAACGGGCATCGCAAACGAACAGCTGCTCAGCTCACAACCCCTGCTCCCAGACCAGGCCCCCAGGCCACATAACAGGAAAGCTGTGTTTTCACAGTATTTAAACATTTACAGAAACACATGGATATGCACAGAAAGACTTCCAATTTGCTCCCTGCAGAGTATAAATACTGGAAGGTTACGAGAAGGTCTCCCCAGAGCCTTCTCTTCTCCAGGCTAGACACCCACAGCTCTCTCAGCCTGTCTCCATAGCAGAGAGGCTTCAGCCCTTGGAGCATCTCTACAGCCACCTCTGGACTCACTTCAGCAGCTCCATGTCCTTCTCATCTTGGGAGTGCCAGGGCTGGAGGCAGCACTGCAGTGGGGTCACCTGGGGCAGAGCAGAGGGGGACAATCCCTTTCCTTGCTGCCACACTGTGGGGATGAGCCCAGGACATGGTGTTCTCTGGGCTGTCAGTGCACATGGTGGCTCATGTCCCGTGTTCTACCCACCAGCACCCCGAGTCCTTCTCAGTGGGGCTGCTCTGGATCCCTGTGTCCCCAGCCTGTGTAAACACTGGGGCTGTGGGTACCCAGTGGTGCCTGTGCTGCCTCTGCCACCAACAGTGAACACTCAGACAGCTGCTCAGCAGAAAGAACCCAGTGTGGCCTCTACACCCTGAGGAACATCTGTGGCGTTAAAAATTCCCCAGGTTTACTCAAATAATGAACACAAAATAAATTTAGCAGCAGCAGAAAGCCCCGAGCAGGCTGAGGGACGCGCCGGGGCGCAGTGCTGGGTGAGGCGAGCGAGGCACTCGGTGGCTGTGGCATCTCACCCTGTGCTGTGGCTGCTGCTCCTCCTTTCCTGCCCAACACACCCTGCCTGGGCAGCACAGCTCCAGGCACCCTGCCAGCCTCCCTCACCTGCTGCTCCCTCCTCCACACTCCAGCCCTTCTTTCTGCATTACACATGGCCTTGAGGAAACACCTGTTCCTCACCCTTTTGGCTCCAGCTCTCCCAGTCTTCTCTGTGTAGTAACTCTTGTCATTACTATGACTTCTAGTGGTGCAGCCCCTGATTTGAAGCTTCCTCCAGCCAGGCCCCCTGAGAGCCTCAATCCCAGCCTTTGACTGAGCTCCCACCTTCCCAAAATCCCTCATTTGTTTCAGCCTTTCCATTTCCTTCCATCTGTCAGCACATGACTGTTCCCCTGGAGGGAGGAATGGCAGTGGGCAATGAGCAGAGGCAGGAACTTATTCTCTGTCTGGCATTCGAAAAGTCCTTTCTACCACCTCACTTCAGTTTCCTTGTCTGTGAAATGAGGTCCCTGAGTGAGCTCCATGCAGCTTTGAAACAGTCAATTCTTATCAAATATCAAGCACTGCACAGCTGCTGTGAACCACTACTGCAATCCCTTAGTGTCCTGGGGAACAGCAGGTGAGACCACAGCAAGAAAGCTGATTAGCCATTCACATAGATGTGCATGTGTAAATGATGCTAAAGGTTTTAATACACCAGAGAACAGGAAACAGGACCAGTAGAGACACAGACACTTACAGAGATTATTTTTGTTAAGGATCTGGAAGTACAAAGCTCTGAGCTGCCAAAGATGGATGCAGTCTAAGCTCACAGTGTGAAGTGCTTCCAGGAAACACAAAACTTCCACAAAAAAATTCCCAAACAAGAAACCAAAATAAAACTAATTAAGAATTCAACTGAAGTGAAAAAGAAAAAAAATAAAACCTGGTATTGCCAAGATGAGAAAATGAATTTTGCTATACACAAGCAAAAAAGAGTGGAAGACACAGTCCAACAGTTATATGCCCAAACAAGGTTCCTTCCTGGAGACAATCCATCATCGATGCACACTGCCATCTAATCACACAGCAGAAGCAACAGGGAGACAGGGGGTGGCTCTGGCTGGCCAGCAGAGGCCAAGGGCAATGACAGCAGGGGCACAAGGGCCACGTCAGCTCTGATGAAGGTTGACAGTGAAGTTGCAGATACCAAGCAGGAACAAACTGGCAGTAGGGAAGGAAACATGGACATTACCTGCCCCGTCCTGTGCATTTCAGCCCTCCAACACATCCATGGCCAGCCTGGCTAAATCGTAACTGCTACTGCAGACCCTGCCTGCACAGGAGCTGGGGAGCAGGCCAGTCTCGTCAGCACTGAGAAGAGCAAAGCTTACTTGTGCACAGCCCAGGGCCGTGGTGTGTTGGAATACACAGCAATACATGGAGATTGACGTCACTGCCGTATCGGTATTACTGTGCTGACAGAAGGATGTGGTGAGAGGAGGTGATGAATTCAGGTCCAAACACCCACACAGCACTTATTACTGTACTCTGCTCTCTTATGTGAGAAAAGGGTGGGAGAGCAGACACAAACTCACCAGCCTTGTATCTAAAAGGTCATAGTGGGGCTGGTGGAGTTAGACCCTTGCAGTGAGGAGGCATCAGTGTCAAGGCATTAAAAGGCTAAGCCTAACTGCATAGTACAGCACGTGCCATGCTGGAGACAGCTCAGCTTCCACCCATCCTCAAAAGACCCCAGGACCAGGGCAACAGCACCAATGCTCAGACCACAGGCAGGGAAGTAGTATGGCTCCTGCACAGGTAAGGGGCTCACCCTGCCCTGTCTCACACCTGTAGCCTGTCTGGGCTGGTGCTCTGCACATTGTGAGGCTGACACTGAGGTGAGTTGGTCAACTCACCTATGCCCTACTGAAAAGGGGCTGCAAGGAGCCACATTGTGTCCCTGGGCAAGAAGGAAAGAAGCAGCACCAATGGAGGGACTTGGCACACAGCGTAGCATGGTGGTAAGAGGGTAAAGAACAAGGAGCCAATAACCCAAGAAGACCGCAGCAGTGAAACAGACACAGAGCAGCAGGGTGCAGGATGAGGGGGCTCCTTGTTCAGCCCTTCATGCCTCCGATTCACCCTGGGAAAAACAGGTGGTTGGCACCACCACTCAGGCCAGGGCAGGTGGCTCTTGACCATGCTTGCCAGGTAGTTGCTGGTAAATGGGCTGGCCCAGGTGCTGTTTGTACACTGTTAGAACATGCATGGAGAAGGTCCCATTGCTTAGCCCAGAAGCTACTCCTCATGGTCTTTGGAGCAGAGTCTCTGTAAGACCAGCTCTTCCCTCTGCACGCTCTGTGGGTCACTTACAGGCACAGTGTCAGGCCCAAGCTTCTAGAAAAGACTTGCCTCAGCTGATGTCACCTGTGGGTTGTGGAGATTGTCACCACTGTTGAGTACAGTGTGGGACAGCACAGGGTCAATGAGACTGAGCAGCTAAGCTAGACATTTCCCAGGCAGTTAGTAATATCCTTCTCTTGTGAGGATAGCAGACCAGGGCAGTGGTGCAGATCTTGCTCCCTAATTATAGAGGACTCACCAAGGTGTGTGAGTACTGTTTATTTGGGCAGAGGAAGAAGGGAAAGGGCAATAATATGCATTTGATATTACATAGCTAATTTTTAAAACAAGAACACTGGTGGCACTCTAAGACCAACTGCTTTATGAATTTAAACATATTGCACCTAAAAGCCAGATTTTCTCAAAGTAACTCATTAAAAATGTAATCTCAGCCCAGCCCACAGTGGCAAGTAATATTCACCAAGAGGCAAGTGTGAAGGGCACACCAGGGAAGGCTTGGTAGATTCTGCTAGAGTTATTCACAACCCAAAACCAGTTTCACATGACTGGAAGAAGGGCAACATCTATGTATTTATCAGCAAGAGTACACACAGAGGAAATAACAATCAGAGCTGGCAATTCACAGAACCAAAGAATCTTCAGACTTGAAGGGATCCACAAGGATCATCCAGTTCAACTCTTGGCCCTGCACAGGATGTCCCTGAGAGCAACACCATGTGCCTGAGAGCATTGGTCAAATGTTTCTTGAGTCTTGGGGCCGTGACCACTGCCCTGGGGAGCTGTTCCAGTGCCCAGACACCCTCTGGGGGAAGAACCTTTTTCTCATATCCAACCTAAACCTACCCTGACACAAAATCAGTCCGATTCCTTTCTCTAGGAGAGAGAACTAGTGAGACTTGTAGTTATTAGGTTCATGATTTGGGGAAAAAACTCCACACAAACAGTACTATCTCTGTATTTTCTTCCAGTCGCAATGGAATTAAACCAACATCCTCAGCACGGTCAAAGATACAGACCTGGCGTAACTCTAGGGTCAAAGGCACCTTTAGGTGACATTTAGAAGGAAGAAAATCATACATTACAGTAAGTAAAAAATCACAGGAGAACAGCTGAGACATGAGTAACTGTGTTCTACTGGAAGGGAAAGCAATAGAAGAAACCGCCTCAAAGCCCAGGAAATGGGCTAAAGCATGAATGAGCCAGGCAGAAAGCAGAGGTGTTAGTCAGCAAAGCAGCAGGTTGAAAAACACTGAAGCTCCCCAGGTAGTGGCTGTGAGCTGACACAGGATGCTGCAGGGGAGGGAGGAGTGCGTTACTTTCAGTCTGGGGAATGACGAGTGCCACCTGCAGAGACCCTGGCACCCTGCCCTCCTACTCCCTTCTGCCTTTGCCAGTTTTCTCTGCCACCAACACTGGGCTCAGCCTCTTGTTTCCCACCATATCCCAATCTGCATGAAGGCTGTAGTAAGAGAACATCACTTTGACTCCTGCCTGAGGAAAAGAGCTTACCTTCACAGAGCTGTGATTACATACGTCCTGCTCACATGGAGGAGACTGCAGAGAGGCTTGTATCTTCTCTTAGGAAATCACCAGACACATGCTGGTAAACAGAAACAGGAATGACTGTGCCTGTGAACTCACCCTGACCATCTGGAACAGAAACCTATAGCTCTGCTCAGACGCAAACCCAACACCCTGCACTGCACCATGCAAAACATGCCCAAAACATGCTCTCTGCACAAGGTCAGCAAGCCTGTCACACCTTCCCACAGTGCTCACCTGAGCTGGCAGTTCTGGCAGAACCTGGGGGTACACCAAGACCAAAGCTCTGCTGCTGACACACAGCTATTTATGGCAAAAGCCTCACCTGAATCTTGTGGAGCTTTGTTTTACCACATGATGTCAAAAATCAGCATGTCCCACCTATGCTGCCTGGCCCCTTTCACAGCAGCCCTTCCACACCTGGGGCTGGGAGCAGCAGTAGAGTGTGCCTGGGACAGCTTCTGGCACCTCTTACAGGGTGAAAAACACGCCAGTTATCTTCAACCTCTGACTGTGGCAGCATGTTCAAAGTGAACTGCCCTGCACAACCTTCAAGCCCAAGGCCTGCCAGACATGTGCACTGGTCAGCAATTCCAGCACAGCACAAGACAGCTCCTCCAGACCTCAACTGCCTACTCACCACGGGCAGTGGCTCCATAGCCAGTCATGGCCAGTGCACAGTTGGTTCTCACAGCCACTCTCCAGGGCATCAAGACAAGAACTGGGGATTGGTTACAACCCTGAGCCAGATGTGGAAATTCTACCCCCAGAATGCAGCCCAGTGCTTTCTCAGCCCAGTGTAATTCTTGTTGCTGTGTGGGTGGCTCACTGCAAGTGAAACCAGCAGTAGCTGAGCTGGGGAGAAGCAGCCAACCTCAAACTCTTCAGCTTATGCCAAATTTCCCCATGTCTAAGAGCTGGGGAAACAGCAGCAAGTAGGAAAGTCCCAATGCTACGTGTTAGTCACCAAGTCGCTAACCTTCAACAGAAGACAAACACCACATTGCTGTGAATGTCCTGTTGTTACACTGTGGAGCACAGGCAAGACAAAGGTTGATCCATCACTGAACTGGGACAGGAGCTCTGTTGCATCCCTGCCATACTCAATGGACTGTGGCAGGTCTAGCACAGTCATCCCTCTCCCAAGGCATAGCCTGTACTGTATCAACTCTTGCCATGAGAATACAGAATTTTAAGTCTCCCACACAGATGCTCAGAGCTTTATAGAGAGTATTCTGGCTAAGAGATAAAAAAGAACCAAACAGCTGCTCCTCCCTCTTCTGCAGCTTAATTTGCCACAGCAGCCAGTTCCCCACTCTGTTCATCTAGGGCCGCTGCCCTTTCTCCTCCTCTTTCTTCTTGCAGCTCTGCTGGAGGAGTAGAGAGCAATGGTGTGGAAATCTCCATGTTACAGAAAGCCACAGAAGGGACAGGTTGGAAGCAGGACTGCAAAAGGGACAAATAGAGCAAAGCACCTTTGGCCAGAGTCCAGCAGAGACGTAGAGTTCCTCTCAACATTGCTTTCTCAGCTTGTCAGAAGGAACGAGAAGGCTCAGGACTCAGCAGCTCCTCAGTGCTGTGACAGCTGTTCCTGAGCACTCCGGGCAAACACCCCGAGGTTTGGCACTTCGGCAAGAGTTAACTTTGGTGGTGTTAGTGAAGCACCTGGAAAGTGTCCTCTCCCTCACCTGTGTTTTCCCTCTGCTTTGGAGCACCCTGCTTTGAGAGACAGCAGTCGTGCCCGCAGGTCCCTGCTGAGCTGCTGCTTTGCTTCCAACCTGCGACCGCGGCGAAGTCTGAGCAAACGCCGAGGGCACAGCTTGGCTGCTTCAGCCACAGCAGCTGGTGGAAACCCCAAGATTCCAGGTAATGAGCTCATGATACATCCCCACGTGGGAGCCTGGGCAGACCCCACAGAGTCTGCAAACGACTGTCCCGGGACAGCTCCCCCAGCAATGAGTACAAAACATCTGTCCTCTGTGAAAGCAACTGCGTACCAAATGGCACTTACACTGAGCTCTGCCAGAGTCAGAGCACAAATTGCACAAATCATGGTCCCTAAGGGGTCTTCTACAGAAAATACATGGCTAGGAGAAAGCCAACTGTCCTCTCAGCCTCTATTCACTAAGAAGTTTTGTCACAGAATCCCCACAGGTAAGCAGAGTGGGGAGCAGGGGTTTGGAAGCCACAACCCCCTTATCTGGTTCTCTAACCCTTTGTTCCTTTGGTCCTTTCACTGCCAGAATGCAACACTTTAAAAGAACTGGTTTTCCTAGACACAGTTTGTAGCTGATGGTGGATGAACACTTGGACATCCTTACACCCTGCCTCAACAATGCAGGGTCACAAAGCAAGATGCAGAGCTAAAAAAGCTGACCCCTCCTTCGTGCTAAGTTAAATTGACCGCACACCCTCAAGCTCCTGCTGCATACTAGTCTCAACCTGGTCTTGTGGCAATTAATTTTCCACAGGCAATGACGAACCTCATAACTGATGGGAATTTGCCAACAGCTGATCTGTACACATTTTCAAGGAGCCAGCACCGTTCAGAATACAAACAAAAAAAAAAGCCAAGGCTGTGGCATTCGTGCAATGGAGAAACAATGTACCAGAACTAGCCTCTCCTGAACTGGGAATACATGTGCCTTTTTTCTCAGGAACCCATTTCAGTCGTGGTGAGTCAGGTTGCTAATATTTGGTAGGAAGCCAGGTGAGAAAGATGTGGAGGTGGAGCGAGTGAGTAATAAATGCCATTAGAACTAGGCTAAAACTTGGCACAAGCCTTGACTTACACTGCAGCCTTTCAACACAAACTGAAAACCACTGAAAATACACTTACCATGCTCAGGAATTCTGTGTCCTGGCAGGAACACTCTACTAGCAAAAAGGACATGCCTGGAGGGTCCCAGCCTCTGGGAAGGAGGGTGAGCTGCCTCTGCAGGCACAGGCTGGCACCTGGGTGGTGAGCTCAGTCCAGACCCCTCACTGCCAGCCCAAAGTCACAACTCCTACACACTGCCCAGAGGGGCAGATCACCAGCTTGGGCTGAAAACCTGTCACTTGAAACCTACCTGTGTGTCGTAGCCTGGCAATAGCTCTGGACGGCTGAAGTATTGGGGATGGAGGATGGAACACAGGACACCACTCCCACCCCAAAAGAAATAAGTTATGGGAGCTGGGTGGTAAGTCAATCACCTCCTCTTTGACCTGCACCTGTGTCCTACTTCCAGGTGTATCAGCACCTTCCACATCACCTTTGTGTGCTTCCCAAGCAACACACAGCCAGGGTGATAACCACAGGAGCTGTTCTAACAACTCCTGCTCCTGCTCCCTTTAGAGATCACTCACAGCTGGAGACATTTCGGCTCTGACTTTGCCCCTGCAGAGCTGCAGCTGCCACTGCTGGGTGCTAACCCCAGCTGTCCCCAGGAGCCTGCACCACTTCCTGGCTGCCAGCCCTGGGCAGGCACAAGTGCTACAACCCACTGGATCATGTCTGACCTCTAGCAGCCTTCACTTCAGTCAAGATTGAAATGACAACCAACATTTCAATTTGCCATATGGTTTATTTCCAAAGACTAGTTTGGTTCAGTCTTGGCAAATGTGGCTAGGCTACCTCCATATAGCAGTTGTCCTCTTGGGCAAGGGCTTGGACCAGTTTCTTTTTTTTCTCGTTCTTCCTGTTGTTTTCCCTTAGCAGTTCTATTGGGCTTTTTTTAACTGCAAGTGCCAGTCTAGAGCCCTCACTGTGAATGGTGTGAGCATCAGAAGGACAGGAGTTATTCACAAGAGGATGAGGTGACACCTTGTCTGAGATCTGGAGCTCCAGGGGCTCTGCAGTTTTTCTTTCTAAGCCTAGCCCAATGCTGTCCAGTGATGCTGGCAAGCTGGCTGCTGAGCCACACCTCCTCCCTTCCACATGCTTCAGCACCTCTTCACTTCCCCCTGCACCTCCAGGTTCCCTCGAGTGGTTGTGCAGGTGGCAGTGGCAGGCAGTGTTCAGTCTGGTATCGCTGCCCTCTTGTATTCCTTTACCTGTAGGGTTAAAGCTCTTCGGGTTTGTCCCCTCTGTAGTTCTTTCTCTGCTGTTTAAATCTTGACAGTTCAGCTCCAACAAATCCAACAGTTGTTTGTCCCTGCTGGTATTTTCATTGCTGCCATCACCAGACAGCTCATTGGAGCTGCCATCACTGGGCTGTGTGACATCCTCACTAGAGGCTAAACCTGAGGCAATGCTGCAGTCAGAGCCCTGAACAATTGAACACACAGAGTCCTCTGTCCTCGGGTCAGGTTCACAGGTTGCAGTACCTGCTGGTGCTTCTCTCAGATTGCTGTACAAAAGACCAACAAAAGGTTCATCTAGTGACCTAGAGATAACCTCACTGTCACTGTCACAGTATGGACTGTTACATTTACCTGCTCTATCAAAAGGCTGATAACCAGCTGGCTGAGGTGCAATGGGACAAGAAATTACATTGTCTTTCTTTTGGACATTTTGATATATTACTTGCTTATGCATTTCCTCCTCTGACAGGAATTCTGAAGCACCTTCATTTGCATGCATGGAAAGGGATGGAAAATCAGTATGTTCTGAACAGGTGTCTGGAAAATCAAGCTCAGTGCAGGGAGATGCACAGTTCATATAACATGTCTGATAGCTAGCAGGCTGAGCAATTGGACCTCTGCAACTGTGTTCTGGTGTCTCTGACAGCTGTGTCAAAGGTGTTGAGGAACAGGCACTTCCAAAGGATAGAGTCAGGCTGCTGTTAGTCACTGGCTGAGACACGAGGGCGTCGAAGCTCTTGTAGGCAGAGCTGCTGGGTTCCTTGCCTGCAGACACAAGAATATCAAAGCTCCTGTAGGCAGAACCACTGGGCTCCACAGATGGAGGCAAAAGGCTGTCACAGCTCTTGTAGGCAGAACCACAGGGCTCCAGGGATGGAGACATAAGGGAGTCAAAACTCTTATATGCAGAGCCACACAACCCCACGGATGCAGACACAAGGCCATCAGAACTCTTGTCTGCAGGGTTGTTTATTTGGTCTTTTTTGGTCCCAAAGAATGGTCTATTTGTAGATCCCAGGGTCAGGACACAAGAGTCATGCTTACTTTCAGAACTGCACAGAAAAAGGCTTTTCTGAACCATATGTTGAAGATCTCTTGCATCCAGAGAAGCAGAATTCATGCTGGAGCTCTGATAGCCAGATTCAAAGGATTCTTCTGATTGCTCTGACTCTTTGCTGGCTGTACTACAATTGTAGTCATCTTGAGAGGCTTTGGTGAAAAGGGAGCCTGCATGAGAAATATCACATGGCTGCTGACTCTGCGCTGCGCTTTCCTCTGGATTTCGCTGTGATGGATTTTCTGAATCAAGTTTCTTGAAGGTTTTATTCTCAGCTGTGATGATGTCTGGGTCTTTATTGTCTTGCATGTTATCTTCATCTGCCAGGAGTGCATCGAACAGGTTAGCTAGTGCATCATTGTGGTCGATGTCCTCTCTGAAATCACCAATGCTGCTCCCACCAGGCTCAAACATGGTGAACTGGTTATCAGTCTCTTCCTGGCTCTCAGCCTCACTGTCTGTTAGACACTGACAGATGTCTATAGTCTCTTCAGCTGGCATTGTCTCAGGCATTAAAACTGCACTGCTGCCTTTTGGCAACCACTCTCCAAACTTGCTGGAGCAACTGCAAGATTTCTCAACATTTCCGATGTTATCTTTCGCCTTGAAGTTTTGGCTTGACAAACTTTGAGCCAGACAGTTCTTGCAACTTCTGTTTTGGGAAGTCAAAAGGAAAGGACAGTTACATTATGTAACAGGAAACTATTTTATGCTGTAAAGCAGAGGTGTTTTTTTTTTAATCTTACTTACATTTGGTTTTCCATATGACTCTGCTTTAAGTCGTGGAAAGGGAACTTAATTTCATCAAAGTAGCACAAAACTGAAAACTAGTAAAGATACAAGTGAGATGTTGGGCACATATGAATTGTATTTAGTATCCCCTGTACTCAACAGACAATAGCACTTATTACATATTCTACTTCTGGTGATCAGGGAAAGTTTTTCAATTACCTTGACATTTTTTACAACCAAGTGGCTCTTTGCTGGATTTGGGATTTGATCCCACCATTCTTTCTTCACTCTGAAAGGGAAGAATGAGAATTGTTTGTTTTGGCTGCACTTTGGCTTCATCAGTGTACATTTCCCTCTTCTGTTCTCCCCTCCCTCTTAGGCACCTGCATGGCAGCAACAGGAAATGCTTGTTCTGTGCATCTCCAAGTGCTTCTTTTCATTAAACCAGTGCAAAGATGTTTGTATGTTTGGTATGTGACTGCTCTGCACAATGACAGTCACACTTTCTTCTAATCATCTTTGCAACAATGTGTGAAACAGACAGGATCTCACTTTCACATTACCACTAAAAAAACCATAGAAGAAATAAAGATATTTAACCATCATTCCTGGAACTCCAGCAAAGATTGGAATCCAAAACTGATGAACCCCACAGGTGCAGCCTGGTTTGGACACTACAACAAACCCATTCTAGTAAGGTTAATAGAGACTATCCAGAAAATGACAGAGCACAGCTGATGTTTATAAAATCTCTGCTCACAGACAGTGAGATAACCAAAACATTAGATTCCTGTGCTACCAGGCATTCAGCTAATCCATAGCAGTACTGGCACCTGGGTAAACCTTTACTCTATAACCTGTAAGGAACATGATACATACTTGGTAAAACAGAAGTAACAAATGACAAATCCTGCCATGATCAGTATGCAGGATACGGGCACAGCCATCTGCAGAATGTCTGCAGGTGTCACTTGGTAACCTGTTAAACAAACACAGACATCTCCATGTCAATGTGCATCTAAACACAGGCACTGGCAATACCAACCTCACTGCACCTTAAAAACCCACTCCCTCAGAGGATGTAAAGTAAAGCCTGCAGCACATGAAGAGCAGACCCCCCTGGCTGCAGTGGTGTGTGGTGCGTCAGGGGGCAGTGTGAGTACTGCAGGCAGTTCCTGGGAGAGCCAACATGTCCTGTGAGGCCACTGCCAGCTCTGGGGGATGAGCCCACCACACAGTCCCTAAAACAGCGCCACCATCAACACTGCAGTGCAGCTGTGCTTCTCGCTCTCTCTGCTGCTCTTCAGACGTTTGTATAAACCTCAGACCTCTGATGGTTAAAATACTACCTAATTTGCAGCCTAAATATATCTTGTTCCTTTATACCCACTTGCTCTCACTTCAATGTTGTTGTTTAGTTCAAATATCTCTTCCACTTCCCTGCTGTCTACTTCATGAAATATTTACACAGATAAGCACATTTTTTTCACAAGGTTAAGCAATCCAACTTCCCTTGGTCTTCTCTTTCTTAGTTTCCCCAGGAGTTGTCTGTTTACATTCAGTGTCTTTGGAAGCTGTTACAGATGCATTCACATTACATTCAAAAGGATAAAGAGATGATTCTGTAACTCTCCTCCAAGAGCAAAGCAGCAGGGTCTGTTAGATTATACCATCCTTTCACCAAGCTGCTATTTTTGATACTTACCATCGAAGTGAAATTCAACTTCTTCACTCCACTCACTCCAGTAGGCTGGGTAGTCTGTGTAGTTACACCTGAGGCTGGCGACATAGTCATAGCCTCTCCTCAAGGAGCTTGCAGCAATCTCGAAGCTTTTTGCCTGGTAGTTAATAGCTTTTACAAAAACCTGAAAAGAAAGTGGGAAAGTTCACTTTGATTTCTTTATAAGGTGAAGGGTTAGCGAGAGTAATGAAGTAACGGTCGTGTTATGTGTTTCAGGGACCTTCCACACGTGATTGACTGTTTGATACTGCAGTTTGCTGTCATCAGCAGGTCGTATTTGTGACACGACACCACGTGTGTTCTTCCTCCACCAGAAGAAGCCCAGCCCTAGAGTGCTGAATTGTTCAGGAGGGTGTCTGAAGTGCCCAAGCACGCCACGGAGCCACTGCCAGCTTCCTGACACCCAAGGAGCAAGTGAAGCTGAGGGAACAGAAGCACTGTATTTCCATCCCTGCCCTGTCTACTGTGAGCTGCAGACTGTTTTGGGCTGGCAGTCACAAGAGTTTCAATCCTTGAACACCCAGCTGAACTGCCTTGGGACAATGTGACCTGTGGCAAGTGTGTGACCAGGAACACTGTGGGACTTGCCCTGGCTGGCCCTTACACCAGTATTCATGAAGTGGTTTCAAGACTTTTCTGAGGACTGTTTAACCCTGAAAGCTCCAGAGAGATAGAAAACAAAGAGACTGGCTGTCTCTTACCTCTGTTGGGTGCTGCTTCCTCCAGTACTTCACTTCATAGATGACTGGCAGTCCAGAGAGCATGGATGAAGGAGAGCAGCTCTCCTCCCAGCTCAGATTGAAATTACCATTTTCAACTCTCTTAATGGAGACATTTTTGGGAGCCCTCGGCTTAACTGTATTTTAAAAAATACAATTAAGGAGAACATGGCAATGGGAAAGCACTGACAGAGAGAAGCAGAGAGGCAAGCACTCAGCAGAGACCAGAATACCATTGCAGTCAATGCATTTAGCCCTTTTCACTATGCTGCAGCACAAGGATATAGAGGCCAAACCAGAGCAACTGCAAGGTATGCATTGACAAGCACTGATTCTTCAAGCTGGCTGAGCAAACTGCAAGTACAGCCTTTTGATGCACTGTATGCAGCTTTCAGCCTGGAGGAACAGGAACAACCTGTGCTCTGACAGTGGCAGCTTTGTGGCAGAGTAGGCACAGAGCTGCACTGTCACAGCCAAGCTGTCCTGGCTCCCTGTCTCTTGGAAACTGATGTGGGCTCATGCTTATTTGACTGATAAGCAGCAGCAACAATCGAGTATTCTGGAGAAAATCAGCTCCTTGGCCTGGCTAAGTATGTGAATGGTTTCTCTGAGTGTTTGAGGTGACAAACGTTACCAAAAGCACACTCAGCTGGGGCCTAGGGACACACAAACTATGTCTGCACTCTGCCCTGTGGAAGAGCAGGGTCACTAACCTTTTATCACTGGCTGTTATAATCCAACAGGAATTACTGTAGAAATTACTGGGCATGATTCAACTAGCATGAAAAATCTGAGTATGACATAGAGAAGAATGGAAGGAATTTCAGTAGGGACAGCCTAGTGTCTAGAAACCGAAAGCAGCACATTCCTCTTCATCCTTTAGTTCTGCAGCGCCAAGTAAAATGCACTAAAGACAATCTAAGCCCCCAAACTGCTGCTGGCTGGCAGGTGAGAGGGTACAGTTAGAGGAAAAATCACTCTCTGCTTTCTCCAATACTTATAGAATCTGATCCAGAATCAGGTTTTGAAGACAAAGGGATTTTGAATTCAAGCCAGCATGGCACTTTTCACCTCTGCTAAGGAAAAGCTGTTCTGGTGACATGAATGAGGAGGTAGCTAGGATTGCAAAGCCTGGAACCACATGTCCCAGTGATAAAGTAAACAATTTCTTACCAACAAGGGCTGGTGTAACACTGTAATTCCACGTATCAGTCCCATTGAACTGCAGAACTAGAAGATACGTGAGGCTTGCTATAAAATAATCTGCACATATTGTGCAAGTGCACCTCAAATCATCCTTTGCATTCTCAGGAACACACACATTTCTGAAAAACAGGCACAAAATGATGTGATGTTTAGAGAGTGTGGCACACTATTCCTTGAAGAGGTGAAATCAGGCTTCACAACGTGCAGAGCTAATCAAATCTGAGACAAACAAGCTTAGTTCCTAGAAGTGTTTCCAAACCAAAACTGGTATCATCAAACCACCCACTCTCCCCAGGCAGCCCCTGGATATCTGTATCACACAAATGAAAAGACTAAGGACTGACCTCAATGACCACTCTTTGTCACACTTCAGCCTCTGAGGGAGCAGACAGTCTGACAGGAAACAGGCTAACTGCAGCGTAGAAGTGAGGTTATTTGGCTGTCATCATGCCAAGAGGAATAGGAGAGCTCAGAGGCATCTTCCTTTGAAGGAGATGCTGACTGGCCCTGCTGCAGAACATGGAGTTGGGCTGTATGCAGAGACAATCACCTGGGCTCCAGGGGAGAGTACCTTTCACACTGGCTAGAGACTGGTAAATTAGGTAAGATTTCTCCTGAAGAAGTTGAAATTTTGCATGAAATGAAGGTCTTGTAAACTTATGAGAGCCCTACCACTCCTACCAATAGACTCCCTGCTCTGCACTAAGAGTGCAGAGTTCTGCAGAAGAGTAGGCCATTAACCAGAGAGTGCTGTTAATTGCAGCAACCCATTTACCTTCTGGTAAGAGTACTCTGGATTACATTTTGTCCCAGACACCCGTGGTAGAGGGAGGGAATCAAAGCCAATACTGACTATAGGACATATGAAGTTCCAACAATGGCAACATAACATCTTATTGAACACTTACGACACAGAAGAAACCTCTGTGCTGTAGCGGAGCAGGAATTCTTTGGAGCAGTTAGTTTGTGCAGGCACCTTCCAGTGACAAACCAGCTCTTTGTCATAGTCAGTGAAGCATGCAAACCCCTGCACATGTCCTTCAGTCACAACTAGGGAGAAGCAACACACAATGAGAAGCAGGAAAATCAAAAGAATAAATTGGACGAAGCAGAAACATTAATTTTTCCATCTAAAGAGAGCTACCAAACCCCTGCAAGTTAAGTGAAACCACTGTCATTTTTTGTGTCTGGGTAAATGGAAAGAGATGCATGTCACCAACTGTCTCCACCTCCCTGAAGTCAATGTTTACAGTCTTGGAGAGAAAGAGTCTGCAGTGGTAATATTGAAATAGAAGGGCACAACTCATCCATCACAGTCTTCCAAGCACAGAAAATCTGATTCCAAGAGCCCTATCTAGAGCACATCAACATTCAATTACAGAGCAGCATCATCCCATCTATTAAATAAAAAAGGTTCAAACCCCAAAATGCAGATAACTAAGGAGTCAGACCAGGATCACTGCCCACAGGCATGACTCATGTGTTACCTACAATGGCTCTAAGCTTCCCAAGTGCACACCTTCTGCCTAGATCTTCCTGTCACAGACTTGCTTCTAGCATATACCTTTTCTTCATTTCTCTCAGTATTCCCTGTTCTGTCTTCTACTCATCATTGTTATGAGAGCCCTCAGAGCCCAGGAGAGAGTGAGAGTCACACTGAGGGTCACAGGAAAGCCCAAAGTCTCTGCACTCCCAATGTTCAAATTCACAACCTCTTTCACTGGAAGTATTTAAGTAAAAACCAGAAAACATTAGTCAAAAGATCTTTGTTGGAACTGAAAGGGAAAACGGAACACACAATCCTCAGTTTCCCTTCCAGCCCCACCTTCCATTATCTCAGAGCACTGCACACGAGACACAGAACAGAAGAGGAGGAGCTACGTTGACAGGAAGGTTTTGCTGTTACTGGGACTAGCAGTGTGCCAACCTTGGCACTGGAATGTGATCATTTCTTGCTGAACCCGCCAGAAATAGCTAATCCTTTTTCATCCCAGACAATTCTTTGCCTTTTCTGATGTCTGACTTCTTTTTTATTGCTAAACAGTAACAATACCTCCTTTTTCTCGCACAAGCTGTACATCCTTCTTTGCTGCTTTACATCTTAATTCCCTGTAAATAACTTCAAATAGCTTTGGCTGGGTTGTAGAATCCTACTGATTGAGATATTTCTGATAGTTTCCTACAGGATCCTGCTAGAAGGTTTTCTGTGGCAACGCTGTGTAAGTGGCTCAGCATGTTAACTCTCCATGCTTGTCATTTACATTGCAAATTCAACATTCATTTGCCAACAACTGATATCCTGCAAGGTCCTTGTCCTTCAGCCACTGCTGCTTCACAGGCTCATGCTTTCCAATGTACCTACATTTCAGATTATTCCTCCCAAGCAAAAACTCTTTTTGTTCAAAGTACTTAATTTCACTTTATCTTCCCTACATTTCTACTTTCCTGTAGTCCATTTGTGTTATATATCCTCACACAGGACAGGATCTGCAAGTGTCAAGTGTGATGGTCAGATGCCTTTTAGTGGAAGTGACACACAACACAATGGGATCTGTAAAACTTGATTACAAGTTGTCTGGTACGTGGACTGCTTATAAACCCAGAGCTGACTGCAGTCCATGGTATTACTACTGTTAAGTGTTTGGAACATGTTTTGATTGAGTTACTAAGGCCACGTATTTATCTTGTAGGTAAGGACCTGATGATCCTTGTGGGTCCCTTCCAGCTCAGGAACCACCACTATTATGTCCCTTCTGGATGGTGGCACCATGTTAACTTCCCTTTTGTTCTACATAGTCCCCAAGAAAACCCCAAGAATCTTCAGAAAAGCAGCAAGTTAAACTTCTGCAAAACTTTAACAGTCACACTGCTTTTCTGCTTTAAAAGAACCATTATCCTGTTGATGTTGTTCATACTTGGTTGCCATTTGTAATTTTATTGCTAGTTTCTTTTTTCCATTTTAAAATGTACCTTTAACAGAAGCACCAACATGTTAAGCCCTTTAAAGATGAATGACATTAGTTTCAATGTGTTATCATCTTACACTCAAGAATCCTGCTGTGTTAATCTATGATCATTAGCAGCTTGACTTTATCTTGCCTTTCAGTGTACTCATGTCTTTCCAGAACTCTAAATTACATTCTCTACTCTTTTCCTGTGACCTTCTTGGTTTGCCTTCTCTAGTACACAATTTTTTTTTAACCTCAGATATTTGAGAATTTCCTTTTGAAACCACATACAGTGCAGTGTTTGTTTGGAGTCAGTGCAGCTCAAAAACGGAACTGAAATGCTGAATTTCTTCTTTAATCCTCAAATTGTACACCATGCTGAAGGAACTTAAACCCTGTAGTTAACTAGGCAAACAAACCCAAACACAACCCTGTAAAATCAAGTTCTGATAAAGGTGACTTACAGAAAACATAGGATTAGCTGATCAGACAACCCACCGAGGGCACTCTGGCAAACCCTGGTGCTTTTATTAACTCTAACTGCACTATTTCACAGTACACAAGAGCCAATAAACCTTTTCTTTTAGGAACAGGCTGCTTGAAATTATCTCTTAACTATTCTGGTTTGCTTTAAAAAACAAACCCCAAAGGAACGGTAAACGACTGTGGAACTGCTTTAGAAATTACAGAAAGCAAAATCTAAGAGTCATTTCTCAGAGAAACCATGACTTTATGTGCCTAACTCATGCTTATCATCAAGCATCACGAAAGATGCAAGGGAAAACCCATGGTGATGTTCAGGCCCTAAAGCTGAGCTTCACCAACAGCCCTTGGCTGGCAGCAGCACTCGGACTCGGCGCAGCCGCGTGTCCTGCCAGGCTGACAGAGCCTTGCCTGCCCTGCCAGGCACAGCTCACAGCTCACAGCTCAGAGCTCAGAGCTCAGAGCTGTGCCATCCCTCAGGCCTGACAAGCTCAGGCACCTGTGCCTTCCAGATCACACCTCTGCAGACTCTGGAGCCCAAGAGCAGCAGCTCTGCAGGCTCCGTCCAGAGCTGCCCGAGCCCATGCTGCAGCAAGGTGACCGCGTCCGGCAACAGGGCAGCAGGTCACTTCCCAAACCTCAGCTCTCCTTTTTGAAAACACTAACTTTCCTTGCCCATATGGAAAAGGTCAATGTAAGGAAAAATCCCAGAATTTATTCTCGCAGACAGATGTTTCTGGTGTTTGAAGTCACACGTTTCATAGCGGTTACTTAGTGCTGCCTGGGGGTCACGGGAAAGTGCTGTCAGTACAAACTTCAGTTTAACAAATAAATATTGACCAACATACCTGCACCTGCTGTATAAGAGAAGAACAGGATCCACAGGGTAAGTTGTGTGGCACTTGGGAGTTCTGCCATCGCTGACACTGCTCAGGGTCGGTGGGAGCAGCTGTGCTGAACTCTGCCAACAGAAAACATCATTCTAAGCTTACATCCCTGTCCCAGCTGAGGTCAGGGTGAAGTTTTTCCTGCCCCTCTGCTACATGTTGGGGCTCAGAGACCCTGCTGTGCCTGTTTCTCCCCCCAAAATCAGCTCCTGGAACAGTGAGACATGTAGAAGAACAAGGAGAATACAAATGAGCTGAAGACTTTTCTGCAAAGGTTTAATCACAGAAGTTTTCTTTTGAAAAGATTACAGAAAAGATTCAGTAATTTGTTGAAAAGAAAAGCCTCCAAGTGCCTTTGCTGCTGCTCAGGAAAACAGAGCAAACTGCTCCAGCATGAAAAAAAATCCATCTTTTCTCTCCTTTCTGGAATTCTCGAGAGGAAGCGTTTGGTTTCCACTGTTGAGTAACGCTGGAGTTCCAAGAAACCCTCAGAACTCTGGCAGAGAGCCCTGAACCACATCAGCACGTCCAAGAGAGCTGAGGGCACAGCAAAGCCATCTCCCACCGAGAGCAGATCCACAGCTTCCACACCTGTGGGTGACTGGAGCTAACCAGAGCTGAAGGAAGCTGCAGGACGAGAAAGCTGTGAAATGCCAACAGCTCTCCTGATGTTTCCTCTTCAGTTTCTCACTGTATCAGATGATGAAGGACTAACCTCACTAATCCTACCGAGGCATGTGACACAGTGTAAAACTGCAGCAAACCTGGTGACCCTGAGACACTGGAGCAAGGCAAGATGGAAAGACATACGTGACTTCCCCGAAGCTACTTAAGCAATCTCTGTCTGGAGCTACGTGATCTCTGGCACAAGGGACATGCTCTGGTCATTTATGTCTCTTGAAAACAATGTGATGTGATTAGAGAGATTTCGTTCACTATCCAGAGAACCAGTGATACCTCCTGCCTGGCCCGAGGAACTGAGGGTCACACTCCGTTTGCAGGCACGACCCGCAGAACTGCAGCGCTCCACGAGCAACTCCTGCCCCGTTACCCAGCGGAAACTGCGGGACGAGCGGGGTGAGCAGCGCCGCGGGCTG